GTATTGACTTCAAAGTTTTAATGCTCACTTATAAGGCCCTAAACAGTTTGGGACCTCGATACTTGGCGGAACGCCTTCACCCACCAAGTTCTACCCGGACCACCCGCGCGACCCAGGAGGTGAGGCTGAGGAGCCTGACGCCGAGGGAGGCCCGGAGGGAGAAGACACGAAACCGGGCCTTCTCGGCGGTGGCTCCTCGCCTTTGGAACAATCTCCCTCCTGAGATTCGTGCGGCCCCTACGCTGGGTACATTCAAAACTCAACTAAAAACATGGCTCTATGTCAAGGCCTTCCCTCCTGCCAGCACCTAATTTAACTTAATTTATTTTTCTCTTCTTTATCTATTTATTATTTGCGATTATTTATGATTTTTGTCATTTTCTGTTAATTGATTTTTAATTTATTTTATTGTAATTGTATATATGTTCCTGTTAGCCGCTCAGAGTGGTATAGATTTACCAGATGAGTGGGATATAAATCAAATAAATAAATAAAATAAATAAATTAAAAGTTAAGGTCTCAAAGTCCTGAGCCTGGATAAGCAAATCTGTCAGGCTTTTTGTTTCTCCCATATTTGATTTTCTTTCTTTTTATTCCAAATGTGAAGGCATGAATGAATTTAGTTTTCTTTTATTAAAAATCTTAAAAGTTAAGGTCTCAAAGTCCTGAGCCTGGATAAGCAAATCTGTCAGGCTTTTTGTTTCTCCCATATTTGATTTTCTTTCTTTTTATTCCAAATGTGAAGGCATGAATGAATTTAGTTTTCTTTTATTAAAAATAACTGAAACAAAAGTTGCTCCCATCTGTGTGCCATGCTGCTAATAGCCCCTGGGAAATGTAATTGTTCCAAGAGCTATTAAGTGCTAGGCTGTGATAAGAGGAGGGTTTTTCTCCCTTCTTCTCTCCCACAACTTACTAGCAGTACTTGAGAAACACTGCAGTAAAGGAGAGAACTGCTTGATAGTTTAGTGGTTTAAGTATCTGGGAGTTTGACTCCCCATTGTGCCTCCTCCTTGACGGGCGGGACTCGATAATCCAAAGGGTCCCTTCCTGCTCAGCAGTTCTAAGATTATTATTATTATTATACGATTATGAGAAAGTTCTTGATCTCTTCCATCATGTTACTTGCATAGCCACTGAAGCGTGAGCTTGTTAAACACAGTGGGAAAACACAAAATGTGGGAAGCCAAAAGGAAAAGAGGTCTTCTGCCTCTTCACATGGTGTTGGCAGGGGATCTAGCCCAATGATGTCTGGCCAGAAATTTGTACTCATGAACAGATTGGAATCAAAGCAGAAAAATTCAAAGTAAATGTTTTGTAAAAATTAAATAAAATGTGCCTCATACATGCAAGTCATTTCTTTTTAGACATGTGGAAGAAAAAGTGGTAGTAATCAGCAATATATAAATTGGTGTTCAAATGGGAAGCATGCATTTATTGGTTGGTTGGTTGGTTGGTTGGTTGGTTGGTTGGTTGGTTGGTTGGTTGGTTGGTTGGTTGGTTGGTTGGTTGGTTGGTTGGTTGGTTGGTTGGTTGGTTGGTTGGTTGGTTGGTTGGTTGGTTGGTTGGTTGGTTGGTTGGTTGGTTGGTTGGTTGGTTGGTTGGTTGGTTGGTTGGTTGGTTGGTTGGTTGGTTGGTTGGTTGGTTGGTTGGTTGGTTGGTTGGTTGGTTGGTTGGTTGGTTGGTTGGTTGGTTGGTTGGTTGGTTGGTTGGTTGGTTGGTTGGTTGGTTGGTTGGTTGGTTGGTTGGTTGGTTGGTTGGTTGGTTGGTTGGTTGGTTGGTTGGTTGGTTGGTTGGTTGGTTGGTTGGTTGGTTGGTTGGTTGGTTGGTTGGTTGGTTGGTTGGTTGGTTGGTTGGTTGGTTGGTTGGTTGGTTGGTTGGTTGGTTGGTTGGTTGGTTGGTTGGTTGGTTGGTTGGTTGGTTGGTTGGTTGGTTGGTTGGTTGGTTGGTTGGTTGGTTGGTTGGTTGGTTGGTTGGTTGGTTGGTTGGTTGGTTGGTTGGTTGGTTGGTTGGTTGGTTGGTTGGTTGGTTGGTTGGTTGGTTGGTTGGTTGGTTGGTTGGTTGGTTGGTTGGTTGGTTGGTTGGTTGGTTGGTTGGTTGGTTGGTTGGTTGGTTGGTTGGTTGGTTGGTTGGTTGGTTGGTTGGTTGGTTGGTTGGTTGGTTGGTTGGTTGGTTGGTTGGTTGGTTGGTTGGTTGGTTGGTTGGTTGGTTGGTTGGTTGGTTGGTTGGTTGGTTGGTTGGTTGGTTGGTTGGTTGGTTGGTTGGTTGGTTGGTTGGTTGGTTGGTTGGTTGGTTGGTTGGTTGGTTGGTTGGTTGGTTGGTTGGTTGGTTGGTTGGTTGGTTGGTTGGTTGGTTGGT